CTCATGCACCGTGACACCAACATCTACGGTCCTGACGCCAATGTCTTCAGGCCCGAGCGCTGGCTGGATGCGGACCAAGCTAGAGAGTATCAGAAGTACAGCTTGACTTTTGGATACGGGCAGAGGGTGTGCCTTGGCAAGGACATTGCCATGATGGAGCTGTACAAAGCGCCTTTGCAGTTCCTAAGAACTTTCCAGCCCGAGATTGTGAACAAAGAGCAGCCTGCGCGGTATGTTGTTCCGGGTGGCATTGCATTCTTTAAAGACATGTGGATGACAATACGGAAACGTCCTCAAGCTGTCTAAGGGAATCAGAATGCAACTTGAAAGAAGGAGTGAGAGCAGGGAATTTTCTATGAGCTATAGCCAACCAAATTGAGTTCCCAAGTCACCGCAGGATGGTGGCTGGATTTTCAAGGTCGAAACAAAGAAAAACAGTCAGTTATGAAGTTTTCCTGAAATACTGTTCAAACATTGTTCAAATATGGTCAAGAACTTTCAAGTCGGATAAATCACGTGTTTCGTAGACAACTCCCGCGCGCCATAATAGCTCCTGCATGATACAAAATCCCGGCTCTAGATCGAACCCTCGGCGCCAACCCCAGGAAGATCCGCGTAGGGCCAAAATCTGAGGGTATGATTGTTGCTAGAACATCAGTAGGGAGTCTTCCATGTCGGTATAACTCCTCCGCGTAGTCTGCAATAAAGACCGCTCTCAACAGTCCCATCTGCCACAAGTGAAGGAAATTCAATAGCCCTCATCCCGAAGAATTTGTCCCGAGAACAGTTGCCCATGTCTAGTTCCGCCAAAGGATGTTACGATGAATACGATGAGTGGTTGGTAAGCGGGGCAGACCCCTGCGGCTTCAAGAGCCAGCTGAAAACTGATCGATCTTTTCCTCAACATGCTAGCGTTAAGTTGGCGTGTTTCGTGGCTTCATTCTCATATTTCCCATAATCAAATCTCTCACACTACGAAATCCAGGAAGTCTCCCATCACATCATGGCACATTTGGAGCCTCTCGACCCCAAGGTCGACTCCATCCGCATTCTCACTCTTCTACCAAGAGTTGACAATGGAAACAGCAAGGAGCTCTTTTGCGAACTCGAAAACAAGACGCTATCTAGCAAGCCAAAATATGAGGCTGTATCCCACGCTTGGGGTCCTGGCCAAGCGACCGACACAATCTACATCAATGGCCAGAAGGTTCCCATCCGACCCAGACTTCATAATGCTCTTCGCTCTCTCCAGACCGGTGAGCGCCGGTTGTTGTGGATTGATGCCCTCTGTATCAACATGGAGGACACCAAAGAGCGCAATGATCATGTCAATATAATGTCCTATATTTACTCGAGGGCCACGAAAGTCCTCGCATATCTCGGCCCGTCTCATTCTACTTTCACCAAGTCTGATCTGGAAGAAATGGACGAGGGCTATCACTACTTTAGCGAGAGAAACTGTCAACTTATCTCCAAGAGTATTTACTGGACGCGTCGCTGGACCATACAGGAGCTCATCCAAGCCAAAGAGATTCGCTTCCACCTCGGAAAAGGCTATTTCACCCTCGACAACCGCTTCAATAGTCTCTCCAACGCCTCCAACAGTTCCTGGCTAGATGATCACTTTGAAAGGATCGAAAGTCATCGGAAATATATGCACTCTCACTTGCAACAACTAGAGGTGCTGTTAGAAATGTTCAAAGACCTTGAGTGCGAGGATACCCGCGATAAAATCTTCTCATTGTTGGGAGTTGCCGATGATACCGCTCAGGAATTAATCGAAGCCGATTATGACGTGGATTATTATGAGCTGTACGCCAGCCTTATTGATTATCACCAATCTGCTGCCCCTTTGTCATGCCGGTCTGATCTTTTCCGCTCGAGCACATATGACCCTGAACCATGGAGAGAAAATTGGATGGGATTCGATGTCAGCATAGAGCGCTCAGTGCGAGTTATCGCTTTCAGCAATCTGGTGCAAAAGACACTCAATAGTGCCGTTAACCAAACTCCAATTCCAGAGGCTCTATCACTTGGCGATCCAATTGTCGCCAGGGGCGTCATAGTAGGCGAGATTTTGAGCATCGGAGGGACATATGACGACTACGTTTCCTCCTGGGAGTCAAATAAAAAGTGGAAGGCACTCTTAGAATCAACATACAAAAAGGATCGGGATCTTGCGAAATGGAGAGAAAACGATGCGGCCTTTTACCAAGAGTTGTTGAAGTGGGATCATGATGAGGTTGCTGCCATCCAGAACTGTGACACACCTAAAAGTTACGGGTACCGCGAAAGTCAAGACGATGAGCCCATCACTCGGGAGGCTTTAGGGAGTGTTAATGAGGACACTCAACCCAGACGATTTCTTGGAACTGGAGGGCTGATGGGATTTCTACCCCCAGGTGCGAAAGAGGGCGATCAAATATGCTCTTTCTGGGAAGCTTGCTTTGGAGTTGTGATCCGCAAAGTTTCAGAAGACAGGTGGATGATTGTAGGGAGGGCGACAATGTCAAAAGAGTCGTTAACCCCAGCCGTCACAGAATCAGTCTATCGTGATGCTTTAAATTACGGGACCGAAAATACGTCATACGGCTCGTTGCTGAGCAAGACTGGGGATGAGTTTTGGGCGAAACAGAAAGATTTGGCCTATGAGGCTTTAATCTTTTTCAAGTTGGATATTCCTACTTTGCAAAAACTCACTGCATGAATCTCTCTTAGTAGGATAGCAGAAATAAGATAATGCACCCCAGTATCATATAACTATCTAGATCTATATTGCTTCGTTGATCACCTAAGAATTTGAAGTCAAGTTCTGGAGACTTCGTAGATCCAGCCTTAAATTGATACCAGCATCGGACAAGAATGGCGAGGAGCTACCCTCCTCAATCTTCAAACCCTTCATATCATACGCAATTGCTCTCTCAATATCGTCGTCTTCTTCGGTCTGCCACTCGCTCTGCTCCTGGTGGATTCTCGCTGGCCCCAACACGAGGAATCGATCCGCTGCCGTTTCCAATTTACGGACGACGACCGCGACATTGCAGCCAAGAAAGGTGCAAATGTAGTCCCCCTCCTGCGCGTCTCCTGGAACCACACCAACAATTCCACCGTCTCCAAGTACAAGTCTTGCCTCAGAGTCCGCCAGTTTGTCCTCGGCCCCCGTCTTTTCCTGCTCATCTAAGGGATTCGGCCCAGGATCAACAAACTGAAAGCCGTAAGACGAGCCTGAGTCAAGCTTCTTGATCCCTGCCAAGTAGCTCTCGCTCCAGTCAAGCATCTTCTTGGAAAAGGCTTCGTAGTCCCTCCGAGCTTTCTGCTGCTCGTCTGTATTTTTGAAAACACGAGAGAACGAGAGCCTCCAGGATTTGTCGGCTCTAATAGATGATGCCACCTCTGAGGGACTAGGTCCAAGTTTAAGGATCTCCCCGGCAATATAACCTCGTGCCGTGTAGGATAATTCTGACCACGGATCATCGGGGGAACTATTCACTTCCTTGGCCACTTCACCCTCAAAGACATTTTGAAGAAGCTGGCTGAACCTTATGAGCTTGGCGGCTCGGTCAACATCATTTGGGAAGGGGCTGTCGCGTGGTGCGTCTGAGGTTTGGTGGAACTCAATCACCTGGGCATATAGCTGGGCGAACCCAATCCCATAATCAACCTTGATAGCCGAATCCGAACCGTCAAGCACCATTCCAAGCAACCCATAGATCTTATCCCGTTTTTCAGTGCACTCTGCTTTCCTAAATACCTCAATGAGGTTCTCCAGACGCTGCGCGCTCGTGTACCGCTTCTCTCGAAATTGATGTATCGCCTCGCTCCGGCCCTCTAAAGCCCGCCATTCGGGGTTTTGGGTGCTCGTCACCATGTCCCATCCGAACTCGTACCGTCCCAGGTAAAATCGCACCTCTGGTGCCAACACCAGCTCCTGGATGATCCACAAGCGCGTCCAGTACGGGTTGTGAGAGAAGATGTACCAGTTCTGGTCCGAGAAGTAGTCGTTCTGCACCCTCTCGGCCCAAGGCCCGAGCCAGGCGAGCACCCTCTGCGCACGGGTATAGATGAAGGCCATCAGGCTGACCTGGGCGTTGCGCTCTGCCATGTCCTTCTGGTTGATGCAAACGGCGTCCACCCACAGCGCACGGGGCTTGCCGGTCTGGAGACTCCGTAGCGCATTGTAGAGGTTCTCGCGCACGGGGAAGAGCTCCCCGTTGATGGTTATGTGTGTTGATTCGGGCTTTGTGCCCCAGGTATAGGAGAGAGCCTCAAATTCGGGCTTGCTTCGGAAGGTCCTGTTCTCGAGTGTGCATGCGACAGGTCCTTTGGAACGTGGCAGCAACGTGAGAATGCGCAGTGAGTCAGCTTTGGGGTCAAGTGGTTCATAGGAAAACATGATATTTGATAAGTGCTCATTGAGATCGCCTAGTGTCGTGTGTTGAGGGGAAAGTTGTTCAAATTGAGCTAGCAGAGCAAACTCGTAACCCCTGTATCTCGTTAAGGTCATGGTCAATACGAGAGATACGCTGTTAGAACCATTACCATCGTAACCCCACACTACTGATGATCAATGGTGATAAGTCAGACACCAGGTTTCTTACCGACTGTTATGGCGTAAAATTGATTACGCACAGTTAGTTCGATCATCTGAGAGAAGCGTCAAGACAGAAATCCGCCTTCGTAGATGTCGCCCGAAGGTGGTGATCCTAAGCTCCGGTCAACTTGGTCGTGGCAAGATGATCAGAGTTGTTCATAACTAGGTTGAGGGGACGGTGAGCTCTCTTAAAAGATAAGCCAGTTGCAACTGCGTAGGATTGGGAAGCTGGCTTTGTAATAATGGCATTTACTTCTAACCAGAGCGTAGAGATACCGCGATAATCAACAAATAATACCTGCCATCTCCCATTGCAGTCGGAAGAAAGCTATGTCAGGAATTCCCAGAGTTAGGTAGTTTGATGATAGAACTTCATAACTAGATATTCAAACAAGCAATAGATTACGTCTTACACCTGCCACTGGAACGAATCTGCATTTATCAGGCACTCAACAATCATCAGGTAGAGGAGCTTCTCCTTCAGTCGACCCATGAAGTTCTCTGCGGTGCTTCTGGCGTTCTCGCCAGGCGAAAAAGGGATCAGATGTAAACACCAGGGGACATGTATCACATGTTATCGGGGGCTATCAATTTAATTAGAACAAAGCTTCATTAGATGATTGAGTAAAAGAAGGTGTATGTCTTTACCTGAAATCTCCGTTTCAACACTGGAGGCGTCCATGATTGACCCTCGCAGTAGATGACATACTTGTCGACAGGAGATTCGACGGAGAGAAGCTGGCGGAGATCGTTGAAAGAAGATGGGATGGGCGTATCCAGCTCTCCGCCGACTCTTTTCTGTGTGAAAACGAAAACCCAGCTATCAAAGATGTAGATGCATGGCGAGTGTTCAAAATCGCGGGCATATGGAAGAAAAATCCGGAACTTCCAGTCTACACCCTTATTTCTAAAAATGGTGGCAATTTCTTCTTCGTCAGAGCCACCAAGTCGACTCTCTAGAAGCGCATCTACTTCATGCGGAGAAAGGAATGCATTAAACCGATCTCGTGAGACTTTTAATCCCCGACCATACACAATCATCGCTACAATCCAGATAGTTAGGGAGTATTTGGATGGAAGATGAGTTCTTGTCTGGCGTAGCGAGAAGTTGAAGAAGATTAGTTGAAGAAGAGAATGGCGAGAGGGCTTATTTTTATAGGGTGGGACATGGAAAACCGGGGCATATAATTTCACGCCTGTGCTAAATTGCGTGAATAAAGATTAATAATAAAGGTAATTATAAAGGCAAAAATTAAAATGTCCGTGCAAGGAGGAAGAGAGACAGAAAAGGCTGCTTTCTTAGTAAACTGAGGCCAGGGCGGCAGCAGCCTTTCGTCCGGGCAACTTTGAAATAGCGAACTGCCTTTGTTACTAACTTCGTGGTCTCTAGGAGGTCTAATGGGACCTTCTCTCACACATCACGGACAGTCACTACTCGTTTATGTAGACAGACAAAATAAATTAGCTAATTCAGTCTTAAAACATGATTAAAACTAACTATATCAGATGAAAGAGTGAAAAATGATCAAACATGAAGAATAATCCTTAACCCATAAGTAAAGAACAAAAGGGTGGAAGGCCGCCTGGCCCTCGCCCATACTGTCGTTTTCTGCGCATTCCGACACCTCAGTCGTCATGAATTGCAATCTTCCATCATTACTGCTACCATTAACCACGTGGGTCATCGTTTAAAAGCGAGTGTAAACTGCAGAACTCAAAAAGACACAAAAAAAGGGGTTAAAATCAAAGAAGAAGAAGAAGAAGAAGCATAAGAAGGAATAAATCACCATGTCTCTTCCCTTCGAAGAAAGAGATGGTTCAGTGGAAAGATGTAAAAGAGTGACCAGATTTCCCTTGCGGAGAGCCCAAGCTCTACAACTCTGAACAAAGAGCGGAAGAAAACAACTAAAGGATCGACTGGATAAGAGATTGCTCGTCAACTCGGCAATTACGCACGGTATCATCTCCATCAAGGATCCATGCTTTAAAGCCGGCCTCGGAAAAGTCGGTTGGGAAAGTCTCACGAATGCTTCCCGTCATGTTGGCATAGTGCGTTTCCATCCCGGGCACCAGGCTGGCTGGATCTGGCAAGCACCGATCTCGGCAGAGGAAATAGTACGGGTACAATCTCTTGCAGATGTCCTGAATCAGGGCGAATCGTAACTCTCGCTTCTCCTGATTTATATCCTGGGCCAGAACAGGCCGGTACTTCTTCCAGACGCAAATCTGCCAGCGAAGTGAGAGTAGAAGAGAGCCGAGCGCGGTGACCAGCTCGGGCACCGCATTTGGATCATTATCTCTTGGTCCCTGGTGATGAAGGCTTTTGGAGAGCACTTCATAGATATTGCGCTCAAATCTGCGCAGCTCAATCAGGACTACCTGGGTCATAATCTGATAGAGCTGAGGAGCAATTCTCTCCATCCTCTCCCCGTCTTTGGAAATTTTGTGCAGGGTGGTAAACTTTAGGACATTAGTCCATCGGACATACATCCTAAGGTGAACAGGGAGGTTTCCCCTCCGGAGGAAAATCTTCTCTGGGCGCGAGCCTCGCGAATAGTGTTTGTCGAAGACGGCGGGGAAAGGGATTGGACTCAATCTGGCCTTCTGCAAAGTTGACAATGACCGCCACATCTCGGTCAGATCGATGACGCGTAGCCTATAAATTCCGTAGTAGATCTCTAGATTCCAGTCGGCGCTGATGTCCTTAATTTTGCCAAGGTTCTCGTGAGAGATGTCTACTTCATCAAGGCTGACTGGAAACTCTAGCAGTTCAAAGATCGGCCCGCGGAGTGAGGGTGGCACTGTTGCTCGAGTCAGCTTCTCACGGTGATCTGGTATCTCAAGGTCAATTTAAATACATACTACTAGAGAGGGTCGACATCTTTTTAATCAGGTCTTTGAAGTGAGCCTTGGTACACATGGGAACGTGCCGCCCATCAAAGCCTTGAGCACATCGGACACAGAGCCATCTCCCGTCACACTACAAAGAAGATGTCAGCAGTCTTATTTGTGGTGGAGGAAATTATTCTCAACTCACCTTGACTTTGCTGAGGCAGCAGTTAAGGCACGTATTGCCATCTGTCCGTGATCTCTTGAGTCCCCTTCTCGTGGTTTCTGAAAGAGGGCCTTGGCGCTTACCACGAGCCCTACGAGGCTCCAATGGGGCATCTTCCATGTCAGGACCGACAACGGATTCTTCGTCCAGTCGATTATCTGGCCTTTCGGTTTCATCAGAATCCCTCGCTCTTTTTAAGCTTGGGCGAGACGGGCGAGTCAGGCAAGAGTCGGATGAGCTGCGAGGGCGATCAGAAATAACGATAGGGGAAGTATGAGGGCTCTGGAGGGTATCCGTTCCAACTTCTCCTGTTGGAATGGAACAGCTTGGTGCTATATCACTGGATCTCCGTGAAAAGGTGCCGCCAAGGAAGTTCGAAAGAGGTCGACTCTGTCTTCCCAAGGGGTAGGTATACGAATGGGCCAGTTGCCCTGGTTGAAGATATTGGTTGCTTGGCTGCTCGAGCAGGCAGGCTTGGGGGTCGTGATCAAAGGCTGATGGCGTAGCATCGTCTTCATATCCATCACACGAAGTTGCATAGGTAGAAGCAGAGCGAGCGGACATGTATGAGAAGCTCGGCTGTCTTTCGTCACGCACTTGAGCAAAAGAACCTGCGTCGCTCAGGGGGCTATTCACGCTTGGTGTGTGCGGAGTGCCGGGATAGCTGCATTCCTGCCCACTTGAATATGAGCTAGAGTAGTAGTACTCTGATTCGGTATTGTCGGCAGAGTTCAGAAAGATCTCGGGGATTTCTGCACTGCCTGGAGGAACCTCAATAGGAGCAGAGCTCGTCGTCTGGAAAGGGTTGGAGACCTGTCCATCCAAGAGCGACACCGTCGGCTCTTCGCAATCATATTTTCCAATGGCAGCAGGAGGCTGGAGTTGGAAGCATTCAAGAAACTGCGGATTCATTGAATTCCTGGAAAGCATGATAGGACAGCCGGGAGCGGATGGCATGCTGTCCAGCTCTTCCGATAGGTCTTGAGAGCATTGGCTAAGCCTCATGATGTTAGCAACAGCAATCGAACAGAATTATGCTCAGAGGAACTCACGGTTGGGAGCCGAAGCTCGTATCATGAGCAATACCGGCGCCGAAGAAAAGAAACGAGTTACCATGTAGTCCAGAAGGATTATCGAAGGCATTGTTAGTCGAGTGGTCAGGGATAGCCTCATGAGGCCTGTTCTGACTGGTTGCAGGGGGGGTGAGATGAGACCACCCATCTTTATCACTAGAATGACTAGATTGCTTCATATTGAAGATCGTTGAAAGTCTACCTAAAATAGGATCAGGTTGAGGTATGTTCTTCACGGGGTTTTGTCACCTCAAGGGAGGGTGTAGCCAAGTATCCCGGATATCGACGAGTAGAGCGAAAACAATAATAGTGGTCAAAGGAGGGCGTTTAATGGATAAAAAAATAAAAGGCTAGGCAAGCGGGGTAAAGGAGCGGATGATTTGCGTCTGACGGCTTTTGTGTAACAACAGGATAGTGACAGTCTGCTGAGTTGCCGGTAGAGCTTAGGAGGAAGGGAGCGAAACTTTATAATACTGGGAGAAAGGGAAGGGAAATAAACGCGATTCAAATAATTCCCGACACGCGGACACGTCGAAACTTTAATAGACCTTTGGTAAAGCGTCGTCGAGGCAATCTGAGCCTTATTCTGTCTGACATCTGATTCTTGCCCAACGCGTGTAAGGCTGGGCAGTGGTCCGCGCGAACTGGATAAGGCGACACTACCACTCAGACATATTGTGTGAGTGCTTTCTATAGACGCACACCACTCACGGTACACACACATATATTGGCCCAGGCTAGCTTGGTGCCACCTCATATGCCAGTAAGACGCTTCTGAGTGGACCGTAGATAAAGAGATGTCATGATGTGCACATAAGAGGATCACAAAAGCAGGCAGCATCAGTCTATTCGCTCCCTTGAGCAATGTCTGAGGATGAATGGCATATGATTTTGCTGTGACGGATACTACCGTATCATTAAATCATATTCCAGCCTACTTGACTAAAGCAGCGATAAACATGTTGATGAAATAAGTTAGACACCCCCTCCCTCCTCTCCCTCCTCTCTCTTCTTCATACTCCCTATCCACATGCCCAAGGCAAGGTGTTCGATCTATCCAAACAATCAATAACTACATGATACCGAAAAAAAAGAGGCAGATAGACGGTCAAGCCTAGAGCGAGGCTGTGCTATACATCCGTATCTAGCGGTAAAACAATGTCGGTGAAGTGACTTAGTATAGCATCATCTAGATTCTTTCCATTCTCGTCAAGCTCTTTGGAGGCGGAGCCAGAATTGAGTGGCTGCAGTGCTGCCCGATCATTTGGATCACGAGTATAGGGGGGGGGGAAGTTGGAGGATAAGCCAGGCCAAGAACTGCCTCTCCGCAAGAGGCCACTCGCCAGCCCAAGAGGCAACCATGAGGAGCTTCTCGAAAAAAAACTGGTTATTCGTTTCGCCTTGCAGGGTGGCCATTTTCCCATTCGCGTCTGAAGAGAAGAGTGTCACACCTTGGCGTCATTAGCGGCCAATCAAGGAGCTCGGGGCTTAAGCATGGCTGTATCAGACATTGCTGATGGGTGTGCTGAACCCAATGTGCAGTTCTAGAAAGTTGCGGTGAAAGTACATGCTGTCCGTCAAGGCAGCTGAGGGGGGTGTTGGCCATCAGCAGAAAATGCAGGATTCAACCAAGAGCTGAGCAGCAAAGGAAAGGAGATGGAAGGCGGAACGTCGGCGGAATCTCTGCATGGTAAAACTTAAACTTCGGCGTCTAATGGCCAATAACTCAGCAGCCTCCAATGACGTCTTAAGGCGTCCACAGAATAGTCTCAGAGTGATGTCTTACGGCCGGTTAGATGGCATGCTGGTCTCCCCGCCCGTGATTATGCCCACAATACTGAGTAGCTGAACCCTGCCCCGGGAACACCCCCATCGGTCCAGTCCGTAGATCCAGCCGTGGTCTTCCATGTGGCGTCTATTGGGGGCTTGGATGGATGTATCCAGTTACATAGTCCGAGCAGGCCTCTTCGCCTTAGTCAGGCCAAACAGAGTCCAGCAGCAACGCTCGCCATGATGTGCAGCTTTCACTCCCTGGCCTCCAGCTTAAGTCCGACCTTGCGGTGCATCAAGCGCCGTGCTTCTACTGGATGGCTACACAGCCCCGCTGCAGGACGTCCTTGTAACGGTATCACAGGGACTTGCCTGCAGGCCATGTAAGCAGGCCACCGGTCTCGTCCAAGGCGGCCAAGTAGACCGTTTCTCTGTACAGCCAGTCGTTAGCATTATCCTATGCAGTAACTAGGTCATGCATGCGATCAACGACCGGTGTAGCTGATGAATGACCCGACTATAACACTTGTCAACCAGTCATGGGAGAGCATGCCCTGAGAAATTGCAAGGTTGAATTAGGTCCCAGATAGGGCTGGTTTCAATGTTCCAATCGACGGAGTGATCTACAAGCAGCACTGAGGTCCAATGCATTACACCATCACCACTCTTCACTTTGGTGTAGGCCTCTGATCACCCCTCTTCCGTCAAGCATTGATGATACTATTTCGTCAGATCATATGTCATTGCTCAACACTCACGATGCTTCAATTCCATAACACTGCCCCCTTTTTCCAAAGGGCCGCAAGTTGCTGCATGCGTGCTGCGTAATATCATCTGCCGCACCCATGTCTCTGGTCTCCTTGGGGGCCAAAGAGGGTGCCGAACCGTCACATCCAATCCTTCCTCAAGCTGCCCTCCTCCATTGACTGCTTTCTGCAACTGGCCTCAGCTACTCGCACCAGTGACCGCTGCTGCGCCCCAGGCTTCGTGAAGCTCGCTGCATTGGTTGGATCCCGATAGTGTGCCTCCGGCATTAGCTTCATTGCCTGTTGGTCCTGGGCCAGGAAATTGGTCAATTAGAAGCATCTGAAGAGGTCATTTGGCCTCTTTTCATGACGGAAATCTTTCTCGTATTGGCTGGGTTGAAAGCACAGCCGCCACACTGATTTCCGACGCCTTTCGAAGGGCCTTTGTCCGGCGGTGCTGCAGAGAGGTTTGACGATCCTTCGCTCGGGCCCCCGAGATTTCGGCCAGCCCCAATGACCGAGACCAGTTCCGTGCATAGAAGAGGCGAGACTATCTCGTACCTCGTGAACATTATGGCTGATCCATTACGTCCGTCTGAACGTGCTGTGTGATCAACTAGACTTGCGGCTCTCTCGGTCTGTTCTGCCAGAAGCATGCAATCCCTATCATTCGTGTGTGCTCTGAAACATGAGACCCTCACCCCCTCTTGCTGCATCCATGAGACGTCACCTTGCCTCCGCTGTTCCAGACCCCAACCCGAGATGCAGATTAAGGCTGAACAATCCATCTTTCGTCATTACCACAGTTGCGATGAGTGGCCAAAACATCGGTCAAGCTCAGAATCGATCATCCCCAAATTCAACAAAGTCCATTTCACGTGACATTACTTCACCCTTTGAGAGTAATTTTAATGAGGTAATAGGCTCATCAAGGCATCGGTAGACGCACCGTCCTTTCTTCAGGCCCCAGTATCAATTCCTTTTATCAAATCCAGTAAATTCCAGGGGCTAGAAGGGCCGTCCCTCCCCCTCATTGTGATATTCGGGGATGCGAGAACGAAGACTGCAATCCGAACGACTTATTGTAGCCTATTTCAGGTAGCCTTCATTGATTGATTTTACACGGCTGGAGAACTTAATTTTGTTTCCATCTTTGATCTCGCTCTTGTCATCACATTACCACTCTGTTCTTTTTGTGCCAGGGCAAAATCTATCCCCAGCAATATACAGATAAGAGCAGACGAATCCCTTCGAGTATTTGGGAGTGAGGGATATATATAGTGTCCCTGGTATTAATGTAACTTCTAGAAGGCTTAACCGTCCCTCGACGTGCATAAACCTGCCGGTTGAGCCCTCATTCTCTCAGCTCCATTGCGACATCGACGGTCGCCCAGGACGCCCATGAGCCCACCCCATCCAATTGATCCCGATTCATTATATTTTGTGGGCAATACGTAATTTAGTTAGCATTGAACTTCAGCACTTGTTCAAGCATTTGGCTCTCTTCTCTACAAACGATATTTCCGCCGTACTCCTCTGAGCCAACCACTAGCCATTTGCCAATGTCGGCAGGAATCGCGAGAGGACAGGTAGGTGGATGATCCTTTGACGTTAGAAAGTCTCGCAGAGCCTTATTCGTATTTGTCCTGTTTTTTTTAAGATGCCGCTCACGATCTGCACTCCGAAATAGGGGGCTAATATCGACACAAACCATTTAGATGAACACAACGACACGAAACATGGTGTTTTGTTCCAAGCTGCCGCCATAGTCCTTTCTCTCGAGACTAGCTGCGGTAGAGTATCTTCCCGACAGAGGCATAGTGATTTGTTAGCCCGTTAGAATTCCCACCGAGAATGGGAGACGTCGGAAAGGGGGAACAATTAGTATCGCATGTTACCGCAGGGTGTAGATATATATCTGGTATTACTCAGACGATGGCTAAAGCTCAGTGGCGACAAAAGCCTCCATCTCGAGAAACACCAAGGGTTTTTAGTATACTCAAAAAGACCATTAAGATGACAGAGGAGAGGAGATCCTGGGCCTCGTATATCCCATTTGGATGGCACAGAAGTCCTTGAGGATTATTCGCGAGACATCTATCCTCGCAGGGCAATCTACCGCCTGTTAGACTGCAAGCTACCGACACTGGCTTTCAGCTACGGGGCCACTCTGAGACAGTCTCAGCCTCGCGAACCCCCTTTCTAATCCAGTTTACAAGCAAGTGTGACAGTGCCATTCAATTGAAAGCAATCTGACTTGGAATAGAGCTTCTGTTCATACGAGCACGCGGGGGCAATCATCACCGCGTATTACTGTTATCACTTTTGCGTTGTTCCGGCTTTCACCAACGCGCTTACTCTCGTCACAAATACTCAGTTTTTTTGTTTCCCCAATACTCTCAAATAAGACATGTCTGAGACTATGGAAAAGGCACAGTTCTAGTGTTCTTTCCATCTCCAATCACAGACATACCCCTCCATTCCAGAACCTGTTGGTGTGCCATGCTGCACGCATCCTTCTCCCGTCCCCCTTGGACCCTGAACCACTCCTCCCTTCTCTCATCGACACAACACACGAGTCAACGCAAGCAAGGGAATCTACCAGAGAACCCATCGCAACAATAACAACTATAACTGGGGGCAGCGTCTCTACAGACAGTATC